TTCAGGACCAAAAAAATATTTGTTGCCGTTTTTTATCGTTTCAGTTCATTTGATTAAATGTATAAAAATCAGTGGATATTATCGAATATCGATACATTTATTGGGTAAAATTACTACTTTTTACTGTCATTCTATGTGTCTTTGGTCATTGTCAATGCATTGTCACTTTAATTGAGCACGAGCAGCGTGGCAAAAATAGCGCCGAAACTATCACGGCACTGCTGCTTCAGAAACGCTCACGCCTCGCACTGACGAGATGCTTCCGCGTGCAGTATGTACGCTCTAATCTGTTAACATGGACGCAGAAAAAACACGTTTGCGGTGTGAAACAGGCTTTAGGTTTGAGGTATTTCACCTTTTTGTTGCACAATTTGCATCCATATTTACCACCTCTCCCTTCTCATAAATAAATTCTATTTAATATTCAATAGTTTCCTATATAAGTGCATTGTTTTTATAACGGTATAGCGATATTAAAACTGATATTAAAGCTATTTTAGCTTTTTAAAGCTATTTTTATAGTATACCGCAGTATACTATAGTACCTTATTACCGCCAAAGCCTAAAATCTATTATTATTAATAGTAGATTTTGTTTGGAAATTTTTTTTATTAAATACACTTTAAAAAACAGTGTTTTGTGCAACTTGCCGTATGACCACAAAAAGAGGAAATAATGAAAAAAGTTAATTACCCTAGATGACCAGCAATTTGAGCAAAGTCTAATTTTCGAGCTGTTGTTGATTGTAAAAATATATAGGCTATGCAAATTCAAAAGTGGTTTCCTACGTGGCGCTTTTTTAAAAAGACTTAAAAACTAGAGTAATTCATTATATATTCATTGTTTACACAAGGGTTTTCAATATTTTATTCGCCACAGACCTGCAAATATGATCATCCTTACCAGAGAATAGCACTGTATTCATCCACTTACATGTTAATTCACTCATTTTATGCATACATGCATTTATTTTGATCCAATATGTATTCACATGATTGCGTCAATAAAAAAGGCCTGTGAAACCTCTTCCTTAAAAACGATAATATTACATATAAATTAAAACAGAACAGATAAATTAATGATCACATTTAAAATGTATTTAGCATTCAGGAAATGTGAAAGAATAGATATTTATTAAAGCATGAAACTCACAGCCCATATTAATATTCTTTACTTTCAAACTGTAACAGGTTGATTCTACCTCAAACAGGCTGCTTCAGCCAGAATGAAGTTAGCCAAAATTTAATAATAAAAACAAACAGACACAGACGAAACAATAACAATAAAACATGCTGCGTGGATTTCTCTTTTGACAAAGCTGATGCTGGGGTTTCAGGGACAGGTTGGCATAGCTCGCCCATGTTTCAATCGATCCTGACATTTTTAAAATATGAGATACTGTACCAGAATAATCAGTATAACCATTACTAATTCTTTTCAAGCAGTGATTGGCCATTATGTTCACATGCTCAAGAGAAATGCCTATGACTGGCTACAATGATCATTGCATCAATTCCACTATAAATTATCTATACCAAGCACTTACGTACATAGACATGAGAGGGTTTAAAAGCCATATCAATCAGCTCAACCTTGCAGATATATGGAATATCTGCTGACAGACCACGCTTTCAGAACGCTTTTAGAGTTATAACCATGCTGAGATCTGGCTGTGTGTATGTGATGTCGGTCATCATCATTCAAGCAGCCAATTGTGTCTTTGATTTATTAAATCAATTATTTATTCATTGTTTAACTTATGTTTACATTATATTCTCATTTCTCCTCAATAAGCACTCTCGTGCAGCTCCATGTGGGTCCGTGGACCACAGTGAAAAAGACTCTGAGTTACACCATGACATTTCATGACTTTCTTTATTTTATTGAAAACAAATAGCACCAGTTTGCCATAATTAAAGTAACACAAAATATTTCAAATGATTTATTTTTTAATATTAATTATAATACCTCATTACCACTTATAAATCAGGGAGTAAGCTAAAGGAAAATGATAAATAATGATAATAATGGTGCATTATTATCTGAAATTAATGGTGACTTTTTATCTAGCAATATAAAATACTATTAAAATACAAATTATTAATAAATAAATATAAGAATACTATAAGTAAACCTATAACATAAAGTAACACATACTGCAGCTGATTACCAGGTTTTTGCATTATAATTTATGACCAGCCCAGACAATATTATATTGTAATTATTGTTCCAACATATTCAATATATTCATAACAGTTATTTTGTTAAACTGCAGAGTTAAATCTGAGGTTTAGGATTACAAGTGTGAACGGATGTTAAATGAGGAAACATCCTGAATGCATCTCTCTCCCCAATAAGCTCAATGCAGACACCACTTATTAAGTTAGCGATCAACTTGTGTTTCCCAGCCCGTGTGAGGGATATATAGCTCCACAACTGCATCAGTCAGACAGAAACATGAGCTATCTAAATTAAAAACCGATCCACTGATAAGCAGAGAGCAGCCTAGAAGCAAAAGTCACTTCCCTTCAAACACAGGAAGTGTCACACAACAGCTGCAAAGAGGCCAAGGGCCAGAATCAAGCACCTGGCGTAAGCATCGCTCCCCAATTACCCTCATTCTCCCCCCTTCTCCATTCTGTCCAAGCCAAGCGCTACTCTCCTCCCCATCAAGTGCTGCAGTGGCTAAAATAAAACCCACTGCTGAATGACTAAAAATATTCACCCTAACAACAACTGCCAATGATACTGACATGCTGAGGGCAGGCCAGGCCAGCTGGTGACTGATGCGCAACAAATCAAGAAGAATCAATATTAAGAATGAGGAGAAAACTCAACCAGCAAACATAAACAAACTATAGGATAGGACGCGCGATTTGGCCTAAAATCCAAATCTCGATAAATTGAGCGTTTTAACTCGATAACGATTAATGAACTATTATTTAATTTATTTATATTATGTTTTTGCCCTCACAGCTCACTGACAAGTTTTGTACAAGCTTACATATCACAAGTGTGAGATTTTGAGGATTACTAGATTGTAAAATAACTGAAGTAAATACACACGATCTACGATTAAATACTGAACATCAACGCTGAACAACTGAAAGAGAAAAAGTAGTGTTTAATTTCTGAATGTTTAAAAACAAATTTGAAATTTATATCTTTTCAGTTGCTTTTTTGACTAACACTCACTGCATTTTAACCGTAAGAAGCTACGATACAGAATATTGAGCTGAAGCTTGACTACAAAATTAAAATCGCAAATCAAATCAAAATCGCAAATTATGTTAAAAAAACTGCTATTAGATATTTTCCCCAAATCACACAGCCCTAATTAGGATTCATACTTATTATATTATTATGATATTATACTTGTGCCAATGGCATGTGTACAGTCCAGCGCAGCCATCGCATACCTGCGCACCGCTCTAAAAAAGTACTCATTCGTCACAAAGATGCCTTGCGCAAGTTTTGTGATTGGTCGGTTTGGTATTGGTGACAACGGTGAGCGGCACAGAGAGCCGTGTTTTAGGCTATAGCAGTGTCCGAGACCTGTGCTGCGCTAACCCATGATGCCCACGCAAGAGAAGTCATGAATGGGAGTGAAGCAATGCAACTGATGCAGGTAGGTCACATGACCATGACAAAATGGCGGATGTAGTACGTCTGAATTCCATTCATACTTCTTACATTCAAACTGTATAGAACTTTTTTTTCTAACGGCCGTTGAGTACGTTTAAATTCAAATGCAGTACCTACTGAGTAGTAGGCGGTTTCGAACGCAGCCTACAAGTTTTTTTTATTGCGGGCGTTCCGCATAGTTCGGTTGCACAATTCTGATTGGACATAACGAAAGTGTGCTCACTCAATTGGCTATTAAGACTGTCACACAAAGACGGCAGTCACGCATTTGCTCTGGGGGCAGGGAAATTATATAATACATACATATTTGTGTGTATATACTAATACACATATTAGCCTTAAAAATTAAAATAAAATCGAGATTTGATTACAATTAATCGCACAGCCCTAATCATAATGTAATAAGTGTAATTCAGCCCTCATGTGACTCCACACGGTAGGGAAAGCCATTTGAAAAAATTTACCTGGAAAAATGTGATCGATTTTAGGTTCTGGATGTCGATTACTTTTTAATTAATCACCCAGCACAGGGACAGTTAAGTCATTGTTTAGTCACCTTTCATTTACTCATAATCTGTTGTGTTTCTTTCTTCTGTTGAACAAAAACAAAGATATTTTGAAGAAAAATGGAAAATAGTAGAGGTCCATGGTTAGTAGTTTTCAACATTCTTCAAAATATCTTGTTTTGTGTTAAACAGAACTTGCATATCTTGTAACTGTCTGTGTTTCACAGAACACACAGATAAACAGTATATTTTATATAATTAAAATGAAGGCCTGTGAAATTGTTTGCTACAATTTTCTACAACAGCAGCAATATTTTTCATCTTCTGTGCAGTCTGTGGAGGTCAAACATCTGATGTAATGCTTCATAGTCATTCAATTTTGGGTACTGCGTGAGATGATGATTATGGTCACTTGCTAGTAACAAAACATGTCCACAACATCAAGAAAACTTAGAAGATGTATAACATTTCTCATGGAATTCACTTCTAGGAGCAATAAAGTGTATTCACCTCTAACAGGAAATAAAATGAAAGCATCACAACTGTCAACACTCTGTCTATAACCTCAAAACAAACACACTTGGCAGCAGGCAGCATGTTTGAGCACCCAATTATGATGTCCAAAATGATGACTAGGTAGGCAGGTCACTAGCTTTTGGGACACAGCACATCATGCTCCAAAACATACATTTACGACCCATTCATACCCTCAGTCTGCTCTAAACACACCCACAGCATTGCTGTAAAACCTCAACCACACATTTTAATAGCTCAAGTAGTCAATAAATTCAGAAACATCGGCTGGTGTTTCCGTACAAGTTCTGTATTTGAATAAAAATCTCTACTCACCTGAAGTGCTGCAGTCCGCACAAACTTCACTATTTCGCAGCCGTTTCGACATCCTTGTCTCCGTTAGCGTGGGTATGACCATGTATTATCGAGCCAGAATCGTCCAGGGATATATTTAAAGCATGCACCGAATTGACATAATGACTGGATCCGTTTAGAAGTGTTGTATCACTAAACGTGGATCTCATGCCCGAAGAGGACGCACGAACGGAGGAGAGAAACGCATCTGCACTGGCTGCTGCAACGATATGTGAAATTATGTATATCGGGCTGTCTAGCTGTAAATGAGGACAGACGAGTCAAGCAGAGGAGCCTCGGTCAAGATGCGTTAAAAACTACACTACGGAAATACTTGCCAGCAACCCATCAGATAGCGGTAGACTGCCATCTGCCCTCCTAGACCACACATTATAGTTTATGGTGGCGATAAATCAGCTTTCTGGCGCTGCCTGACACACAGTGGACAGACGCGTCATTGCAACGAGTGAGACGCTTTATCCATTTATACATATATTCACTGGCTGTTTGCGACGCTTAGATATCTCATTCTGAAAACTTAATTATTCTTTATGTTTGGAAAATCCGTATAAACGCAAATTAGCTAGACAGCGTTAAAACATGTAGGACGCGATCTTCATAACATATGTCGTCCATAACTGCGCATGCGCAGTAGAGCGGCTACTGATGAGCTAAAGATCGTTTAAAACACAGAGGCGGCGTCGCATTTCCGACAACGCCTATAGCATGAATTATTACGATTATTTACTGATTACAAAATGTTTTATTTTACACACAGTTAAAAACACACAATTTTTTAATTAAAGTACTCTTAGACTAAACAGAACGTAGGCATATTTATAGAACGACCGCCCCTCCTTCATGTGTAATGGTTCAGTCTGGTCTTGTCCATTTCATTACGAAAAAAATATTTATTCCTTCCATTTTTTTCCGATTTATCGCATATAGCTAATTAGGCTCCTACAAATGATTTTATGTTTAGTGCGTTATTCTTAAATGTCACGAAATGCAAAAAAAGTTTGTAGAAAAGATTTGTCAAATGACTCGATACACCCCCTCCCGAAATAGTTTCAACCTGCCACTTCCTTGTTTTTCAAAAGTTTATTTTGAAAGAAGTTGGTTGCGTTTTCGGCGTCTCCTGTACTCAAATCCACCTGTTTAACAGTCAAGCTCGCTGTATCTTTAGCAGTGTTTGACTAAACGCATGAAGAGCTTTGATGGTTCATGACAGTGGCTAGCTCGTAGGCTGGCTCTTGATTTTGGAGGGGGAAACACGGAGAGTTTGATCGCGGCGGCAGCAGAATGTTATCCGCCTCCGCTGCCAGTGTCGAGGATTTCAGCCTCAGGTTTCCACTGCATGTCCTGGTGTGGGAGAATGATTACAGAAAGCTGGAAACAGAGATACAGACGGTATGTTGTGTGTGAAGTGTCTGTAAATGCCGATGTGTGTAGTAGGCTCTGTGCAGCTGGAGGTAGAACCCTTTGACTGCTGTGAGATTTCTGCGTCCAGTCAATGTCATAACGTGATTTATGCTCTATGCATCATGAATTTAATAATCTAATGGAATTAGACTTGCTGCATTATTGGATCTTATTGCACATGTCTCACCATCTTGCCATCCACTTGTTAACCACAGCCCTGCAGTATTGCATTGCACTGGAGAGCTGGTGAGCTCATCCTCATATCAGCAGAGCTATTCAGCTTGAGGCAGTTCACTGTAGATCCAAAACCAATGTCTTAATGTTGCAGATCTAACTGGGATGATCTTGCCATCACCCAGCTCAAATTTTCTACTCATCAGATGGTGTCCATCGATATATTTCTGGAGGTTAAGTGACTTTCAGATCTCAGCTAAATATGCCTAAAGGGATCAGTGGTAACAAACCTGAGTTCCAACAGGTGACCGAAATGGAGAAAAAAGTTTGGGAGAAAAAGAACTCTGTTTGGCGCAACAAGTCCAAAAACAAAAATTATGTAATTAACTACTAATTAAATACCCTCTCTGATGTCATTCCAATTCCCTGAGACCTTCGTTCATCTTCAGAACACAAATGTTTTTAGATAAAATCTGAGAGCTCCCTCATCCTCCATAGATAGCAATTGTCCTGAGATTAGAACTGTGCGAATAATCAAAATCTAAATGCAATCACAATTTAAATATTGCAACTAGTTAACAAGTAACAAGTGACATTATGACATCTGCTGCTTCAGAAGCATTAATAGACTAATTAATATTAATGAAAAACAACAGAATTTGAAGACTATCAAATTATTGAGCTGATGCTTGAATTAAATTAAAATCACCATAAATCAAATCGCAGTGTCTGTCAAAAAATTAGCAATTAGAAATATTTCCCCAAATTGCACAGCCCTACCATAGATGTTCAGAAAATGAACCAAAAACATTGTCCAAATATTCCATGCGACTTCAATGGTTCAACTGTAATCATTCAAAAGTCCTCAAAAAAGCATTTGGGCATCAACAAAAACTGTAAAAACACCTTTGTTCTCCAATGTCTTCCCTATCAGGTCAGGGTTCATGTTTACTTTGAGCAATATGACGCTAATGCTAATATGTTGTGCTGCCTGTAGTAAATGTACACCCTGATGCAGGAGGGAAGATGTAGGCGAATAAAAAATTTGGTATCGCTTTTGATGGTCCCTTTAACACATGTTGTTGAATTTAAGTTACACTGCATCTACATGCAAACTAATTCTCATTAGAATATAAGTAGACTGTTTGGGTGGGTTTAGGGTTAGGGTAAGTTGACATGTACTTGCAAAGTTTCTTATAGTCAGTTAAAGGAGCAGTATCAGCAGATATTAGGCAGGCAGTCAACTAATACTCAAATGAGGATTAATTGGCATGTAGTTGCAATGCAAGTTTTTGTCAACAAAATGTGCAGTAGGGACCATCAAAATAAAGTCTTACCATTTTTATGGAGTGTTATATGATTATAGTAAAACCATTAAAGTCACATATAATGTTTTGACTGTTTTAGTTTTTTTTATGGACTGTGGAATGTCATGTGACATTTTTTGTCTATGGGGGATTAGAGAGCTCCTGGATTTCATCTAAAATACCTCAATTTGTGTTCTGAGGATAAACGAAGGTCTCAGAGGATTGGAGTATCATAAGGGGGAGTAATTGGACGTCTAGCATTCTTCAGCCTCCGGTGCCTAGACTGCTATGGACTTGCTATGGCATGTTTAAGCTGGTTGTAGGGGTTCATTTTCAAACCAGGCTAAATTGTTCAGCTTTTAAATTTCTCCTCACTAACATATGATCCATATATCCTTTCAGAGTAACATTGAAGAGGTGGATCCTAGGGGCCGGACCCCTCTGCATCTGGCCGTCTCACTAGGACACTTGGAGTCAGTCAGAGTGCTGCTGAGACACGGTGCAGATGTTGCCAAAGAAAATGGCAAAAACTGGACTGGTGAGAAATTAAAGTTTACGAGTTGTGCAATATCACCGCAGCACCCATAAATCGCATTTGACCACACAAGACTCATCCCATTAGAAACATGACCACCACTTCCTCAGCCTGTGTCATCAGTGGTTTTCCAAGCCAATAAAAGTGTTTAATACCTCTGGTCCAGTATTACAGCGTTGTATGTACTCTCATAATTACCTCCTCAAAGACACTTAGTGGTTATTTAGCAATGTCTTTTTAGTACTGTGTGATTTATAGTGCACTATATACTAGCGGTAGCATGTTTAATGATATATTGCTTTTCCTTTCATGAAGATAACAGTCCAGTTAAAGCAGAATTGTGTGTGTCTCCTTCTGTCGTCTGTCCAGTGTTGCAGGAAGCGGTCAGCACAGGAGATCCAGAGATGGTGCAGTTGGTGCTCCAGAGGCGAGATTATCTTAAAGCCTCCACTGCGCTTGGTGGCGTTCCAGAGTTACTGTGCAAGATCCGCGAGGTGAGTCTGGCAGATTTGTTAATATTTTTCAAAAAATATCTCATGTGCTAACCAAGTGGCAACCTCCCGCTCTTTCTCGTGAAGTAAATACAGAAGTAACTGAAACTGCAATTCATCGAAATTCCGCTAGTCCTGGCTCCATAAAAAAAGAAGGTGTTTACAACCTGGTACAAAGAACAATTTTGGTTTATATAGCTAATAAAACCCTTCATGACAACTGTGAGGGGGTGAATTTCTTTTTTATAACTCATCCGTTTAGTTTATATTATGTTATATTAAGTCTGCATAAATAAGGGTGGGGCCACTTGAGTGACCACTAGGTCTCGCTGGTCGCCCTAACTTCACCTCAGCTCATTCCGGCTGATTAGCCACTGAACTCGGAATATACATTGTATTTTTGTTTTGTTTTATGTGGTTTCACGCAGTCAGCAGCCTTTTGGAATTATTTCCTACAATTATCAGATAATATGGCATGCTGTGTACTTAATTGTGCTCTCAAATCATTCACGTGGCCTCAATTTCCCAGGTGAGTAATATTATATACTTATATCTATAAATGTATTTGTTTTATTTAAGATCATTTATATTTTTCTTTAGACCTGGAAAGCACTCCAGAATCTGACAGAATGATTAGCTGTAGGCTCTAAAACAGACATCTGAAGCGTTGTAATGCAGTGTTATGCCTGGATTTCATAAATAGCCCTGCATTTACAAACACAAACTATATATTAAGTGTTTGAAAGTAATTCACATTTTCCTCCTGTAGAAAAACAGCATAAGAACATTGTTTAGTGGCTCAGTGTATTACAACAGTGTTTTTAAAAGACTAAATCTTAATGATATAGTGTGCAACCAAGCACATGTGGTCAGAACACATATGAGTCACAGGTAATGAAGTATTGCTGTTTATCCCAAAGAAAAGCCAGTCTTAGCAAATTGCTAGTAGGCGTCTGTAGCTTTTCAATCTTCAATATCTTTCACAGTCTATGGTGCTTACCCAGACTGCATTTGTTAGATCAAAGTGCTATAAAAGCTGCAGTATTTTATTGTAATTCAAAGTAATTGTAATCTTTTATATGTTATGTATTCATGTAATGTCAATGCTGAACTTTCAGCTTTCATTTTAATGTGGCATGATCCTTTAGAAATTATGATAATATTATTACTTGGTACTAAAGACATTTCTTATCAGTATCAATGCTGAAAAGAGTTGTGCTGCTTAAGTTATTTGTGGAAATCGTAAAATGTGTTTATTAGGATTCTTTGACTAATAGAAAGTTCAAATGAATTTATATATATGTTATGCTTGTTCAATAAAATGGTTTAATTTGCTACAAACAAAAACACACATATTCTTAATGTTTTAATGGAGGTGTACTGTAAGTGTTTTGATACAGTGTGCTTTTACTGTCACTGTGTTTGCTCCATTGCTGCACACCATCTTTTGCATAAATTTGTCATATTTTAATATTCAACAAAGCCTGACCTTTTTAACAATCAGTTTGACATTACATGGCATTTTCTTTTCTTAGCTCAAACATTTTACCTTTCACTTTTGCTTTCATTTTTCACTGTTTACTCCGTATGCTTCATTACATCCTAACAAGCTCATACATTTCCCTTCTTTAATAATATTTATAACTTATTTATTTTATTGATGTCAGAATGGCGCATGACCCTGGTGTCGAGAGGTGCTCTGAAGCCCAGATGTGAGTCATGTGAAAGGGCCTGAAGTATGATAATGATGAACCTTTTTTTGTGTCTTGTCTTAGTCTCCAGATTTCTACATGGAGATGAAGTGGGAGTTTACTAGCTGGAGTACGTGCAACATTTTCTTACTTTTTATTTTACATAATGTTTTCATAGTTTATAGACCAATTCTCATTGTTTTGGAAAAATTTTTTCAGTTCCTCTCGTGTCCCGCGTGTGTCCCAGCGACGTGTGCCGAATCTGGAAGAGTGGGGCCTGTCTGAGGGTAGACACCACCCTGCTGGGCTTTGAAAACATGACCTGGATCAGAGGAAGAAGAAGCTATATCTTTAGAGGAGAGGGTTAGTTACTCTTTCAGCTTCTCTAGTCAAGTTAACTTAACCATTCTGCTTATCTGTATTTTTAAACGTTCACTTGATTGTAAGGTTTTAATGAAAAGCTAGAACAGGGTCGAAATAATAAATAAAGAGGTCATTTGCAGGCAAAAAAAAGATTATGTTGTTATTATTAATTTTTTTAATTATAAAAAATTGAAGTATTCAATGCACAATAAAAATGTGACTTTTTAAATTAATTATATTTATTGAAATATTTACAGTTGAAGTCAGAATTATTAGCCTTCCTGTAAATTTTCCCAATTTCAGTTTAACAGAGAGCAGATTTTTTTTCCAACACTTTTCTAAACATAATAGTTTTAATAACTCATTTCTAATAACTGATTTATTTTTTCTTTGCCATGATGACAGCAAATAATATTTTACTAGATATTTTTCAAGATACTTCTATTCAGCTTAAGTTAATTAGGTTAACTAGGCAGGTTAGAGTAATTAGGCAACTGATTGTATAATGATAGTTTGTTCTGTAGACATTTGAAAAAAAAAATTGCTTAAGGGTCCGATTACACAAAATTCACTTTTGCGTTTCAAAAATGTGAGGCGCACCACACTGCTTTTTTTGTTGACAATAAAAAAAGAAGCACAGTATGGTTTTTATGTCACTAGGCAACGACTGAATCAGCTGGGTATTTTGCGAGAGTGTTGCTGTTGATATTAATATAATTTTAAAATTTAATAATATTGTGATATTCAAGATTTGTGAATCATATACCTCCGGATAACTCAAAACAGCAATCACATGTCTCTCCTCCATCTTTAAAAGTCTCTGTAGTTGTCTTGACAACACAAACACTGAGGGCACCTCAACCCCACCTCTGCTTTCATTTGATTGGAGAATGAAACTGACATAGCGCACTTTTTCTGCTCAGAGTTGACTTTTTTCAACTGCAAGTGCACAGCGCGCAACGGCAAAAATGCAAGCCACAGTAGGCGGTAAAAAAAGCAAGGCGCAGGGTGCATAGGGCACCTCTCAACACAAAAAGCGTGTTTGGTGTTATCGGCCCCTAAAAGGGCTAATATTATTGACATTAAAATGGTTTAAAAATATGTAAAAACTGCTTTTAACAAATAAGCAAATAAGCTTTTAACAAATTTAACAAATAAAAAAATAAGACTTTCTCCAGAGGAAAAAAATATAGGAAATTTTGTGAAAAATGTCCTGCTCTGTTAAAAATAATTTTGGAAATATTAAAAAAAATAAAAATAAAAAAAATCACAGGAGGGCTAATAATTTTGACTGTGAAGTTTTACAAAGTAATTTCAAGAGCAGCACATGATATGATTGATCAAAGTTGGTCTCTCATCCATAATCAACAATAATCCCATCAGATTGATTCAAGTTTACAATAAATAGACTGATTTCACTCTACTGCCTTAACTTCATTTTAGAAGAATCCTCCCTTCCACCCCCTCCTTTTTCTCCTTTTTCCAGGAAGAGCTCCTGAGACCTACCTGATCTTAAACCCCCTTATATGCCTATTGACCAGACGATAGGCTTGGGCTTAATTTTCTTCAAGCTCAGGGTTCCCTCCACGGGACAGCATACCAAATCTGCTAATAGCATCAGGCAGTATCTAAGTGTGAACTCTTAAAAACCCTTTAAAATTGAGACTTAAAAAGTTTTAATAAAAATTGTTGTATAGACTGACCCATGACCCGTGTTAAACACTTTCTTTTTGCACCGCTCAGTTTTTTATGTAATGAGACATCTGGACAAACCTTTAAGCTTTCAGTAGATTGCCAATTGAAGATTTTATAAAATTGTATTTGTTTTTTTTGTTTTTTTTTTAATAGCTTTATCATTACTTTCAAAATCCTTTTATATTTGTTGAAATTCCACTTGTTGAAGTTCTGCTTGAACATTGTTATATAAAGTTAGTTTGTGGTTCCTTCTGTTTGTGGTATGATGTAGTTAAGATTTTAATGTGTATCTGCCATGCAATAACTAATGAAGATGGTGTGCCAATAAACACATACTTTAACTCCTGAAGTCTAGAGCAAGTTCACATTTGTATGTTTACTAGTGCACTTTATTCAAGCATGAGTGAAATGCCTGCTGTGTATTTGTGATTGATCAGTATCATGTGAAATTTGTTTACAGACAACTGCACTGAGCTAATGGAAGTGAATCACGAGGATGAGGTGGTGGATACAGAGCGCTTTGATCTGTCCCGTGAGATGGAGGACGTCACACTGGACTCTATGCAGCCTGCCGAACAGGAAGTTGCAAAGAGGCTGACGACATCCATTGTCAACACATATCTGGACACAAAGGACATTGCTTTTGAGAGGTATGGTCCTTTATGTAAGTTTTAGACATGGAAAATGCACTACCATTCTAAAGCTTTAAGGTTGGGAAGACAGAGTACAGAGTTTACAGAGCATTGTCTATACTCATCCGATGATGATTTTTTAAAATTATTCGAATTTAGTTGAAAAAAATGTTTATAATAGGTTGTTTTTTACATGATGTTATTGATGACATGTGAAATTTAGATGGAGTGCAGGAAGTGATTCTTCTACAAAGGAATCGTTATCAGAACATTAAAATATTTCTGTTTTATGTTGTTTATAATTGTTTAAATAAGCCAAAATAAGAAATATTAAATAGCTTTTATAGATTTCCAAAAGTTTTTGCTTATATAGATGAGAAAGTTTAAGAGACTGGCTGAAAAACAGAAGAAAAGACGACATGTCATAAACATTTATTCAGTACATCCATGTGTACAAACTTTTTTTAACGTACAAATTCGTTTAACAGCACCAATAAAGATTATGTACAGGTCTAGCTAAGTGTATAAATATGTTCATGTGTTCTATACAAATCAGATACAAACACCACCACACTCATACCAAATACAGGTGAATATAAATAACTTACCCTGCCCTGTAATCACTGCAATAAAATCTCCATCTTGATTTGCATTAGTCTATGTCTTTACTGGCGTTTCGGCAGAATAAACAATCGTAATGTGCAAATTGAGATGCGCAGCAATGGTGAATACTTGTTGATAGTAAGATCATCGACCAAACAAAAAAGAAATGCAATCCTTACAACAAAACTAAACGGTTATTATTGTGGGGCACATTTTCCACCTTACAAAAATAAAAAAGTAATGTAGACTATGCGTCTACGCTTTTGTATGCTTTCATCTGTTATGATTTGACGTCTGTAAGATATCTGCATGGGAAAAAAACTATAGTAATTTATAATAAACTTGTTTGCTACAATGAATGCTACAGAAGTAAACTGATAAACTGTAATAAATACTGTATCGTTAGTGTAAACTGTGGTGCATCGTGTTGGTGTATAATTATAGTGTAGAAAACTGAAGCCTACTGAAAAATTTGTTTACAGTTGTGTTGTACCACAGCAACAATATAATTACTACGACAGTTTAAGTCAAGTTATTATCTGTAGTACGCTTCCAAACCCTGTAGTATTTACTTAAGTATTTTTTCATGTAACGGATAGCTTATACAGTATCTACAGCCTTGATGACAGGCTTATATATTTCAGTTCAGTAGAAAACTCTGCCCTCTTCATGATATAGAAATTTATGCCTAAATGTGGTTATTTTCTATTTAAATCTCCTGTACATAAATACAGATTTTCCTCTATGTCTCCCATTCATTTATTTATTTTTTTGTCACTTCCTGCCCTCCATCTGAATTTCACGCTTTACTAGACCCACGTGATTGAAAACAACCTATAACATTATAAACGTATTTACATTTACATTTAGTCATTTAGCAGACGCTTTTATCCAAAGCGACTTACAAATGAGGACAAGGAAGCAATTTACACAACTAAGAGCAACAATGAATAAGTGCAATAGGCAAGTTTCAGGTCTGTAAAGTCTAAGAAGGGAAGTATTAGTAGTATTAGTGTTTTTTTTTTTTTTTTGGTACAGTTAGTGTGATATTCAGAGAGGCAATTGCAGATTAGGAAGTGTAGTGGAGACTAAATAGTTGAGTTTTTAGTCATTTCTTGAAAGTAGCGAGTGACTCTGCTGTTCTGATGTAGTTAGGGAGTTCATTCCACCAACTGGGCAGATTGAGCGTGAGCGTTCGCGAAAGTGATTTCTTCCCTCTTTGGGATGGAACCACGAGGCGACGTTCATTCACAGAACGCAAGTTTCTGGAGGGCACATAGATCTGCAGGAGCGAGAGCAGATAAGAAGGAGCAAGGCCAGAAGTCACTTTGTAGGCAAACATCAGAGCTTTGAATTTGATGCGAGCAGCAACTGGCAGCCAGTGCAAACGGACTAGCAGCGGAGTGACATGTGCTCGTTTAGGTTCATTGAAGACCACTCGTGCTGCTGCGTTCTGGAGCAGCTGAAGAGGCTTGATAGAGTTAGCTGGAAGCCCAGCTAGTAGAGAGTTGCAGTAATCCATTTTGGAGAGAACAAGTGCTTGAACAAGGAGTTGAGCTGCATGTTCAGATAAGAAGGGTCTGATCTTTCTGATGTATAGAGTGCGAATCTGCACGATCGAGCAGTTCTAGAAATGTGGTGAGAGAAGTTTAGTTGGTCATCAATCGTTACTCCAAGGCTTTTCACCATTTTGGATGCAGTAATGGTTGCCCCATCCATCTGGATTGAAAAGTTATGGTGTAGAGTCGAGTTGGCAGAAACTACAAGCATTTCCGTTTTTGCGAGGTTCAGCTGAAGATGATGATCTTTCATCCAGTGTGAAATATCCAACAGGCAGGCTGAGATGCGAGCTGGAACCGAGGGATCATCAGGATGAAAAGAGAGGTATAGCTGGGTATCATCAGCATAGCAGTGGTAGGAGAATCCATGTCTCTGGATGACTTGTCTCTGGATATTTAACTTATGATCAATAAATGCTTGTAAAAAAGTATTAATTTTGTTTTTCATTTTTAACAAAATCTTACCCCAAAATCTTTTATTCCAGAATGACACACATTTTTTAAATATTTGGAGACAGCCAACCATTGTGTTTTTAAACATTTTTTATAAATATAAAACACTCATATTATTATTATTAGTATTATTATTATTAGAGATTTCTCTCCATGAAAATAGCCATAGAAACTGCCATGACATTAAAAAACAAACAAACTCCAAAACTGTGAATAATAGTGTGTCAAAAAATGTCATGTGAACACTGGCAGTCTCTCATACTGAATAGAGTCATTGAATTGATTCACAGAAATGAACTGTTAATGCTGTTTTTTTTGCTGATGTTTATCGCAGAAATGCTATTAAAACCTTTACTCGTTCTATCCTCAGGGCCAAATCTGGAATCTGGGGTTGGAGGTCAGACAGAACAGAAGTGGTAAATGGATATGAAGCCAAGGTAAGCAGTCGAACAGCTGATTATGAGCTATAATATAATTGTAAAATTATATAAATTAAAGGAAATGAAAGAAATAATTACCATTTTGAAAATAGACATGATCAGGTTGAACATATGGGATGTAGAATCAGCCATTCAAGACTTACACACTCATATTTATTAAAAGGGGAAGAAAAACTGACTGTGTAAGAATATTTTGATGATAAAACATTTTAATTGACTGTGTATATTTAAATGAAATTAGAGAATGTTTTTATTCAGAAAACATTTTAGGGAAAATGTTTAAAAAGTAGACTTTTTAAAATATTTATCATTAATAAAACTAAAGAAATTGTATATGACTCTTTTCAGTTGTTATTTGTATGTCTTTTGTATAATGAATGTTTATTAAGAAGCGGATATGATTGCATGCAATAGATTGTATAGGTTTTGACATGAATATAGCCAATGCTGCTGATGCGGCTTTAAAACATGAATAAAATATCAATTAAAGGAGAGATTGTGCTACAGAAAGCGGAAAAGTGAATCCTCAGAAACACTAGGCTTTCTTTTTATAGCTGTGAGTTTGAGAATAAGGCAGTCTTTGTCCTATGGGTGATGATGATGATGCTACTGCTTTTGGCAGGTTTTTTCAGTGAACAATGTGAACGTTGTGATTCGCACCAGGACGGAGCACCTCACAGACGAGGAGAAGGCCAGGATAAAAAGTAATTAACCCACTTTAAGATTTACTCTATAAATATCGCATATGCCTTTTTTTCACCGAAATGAAGCTGAGGCCATTTGAAGCTGTGTTAGATGAGCTGAAGTCAAAACAATCATTTCACACACGTTAAGAATAAAATGGAGAATGACAAGGAGTATATCTGCCAACTCAGGGCTCTATTTTGACGATCTATGCGCAAAGTGCAAAGCGCAGGGCGCAAACGCATTCAGGGCTTGTCTGAATTCACTTTTGCTAATAAGGACGGAAAAATTCGCTTTGCACCGCAGCGCATGATCTAAAAGGGTTGAGTTTATTTTATTAATGAGTTTTAGGTGTGTTTTGAGAATAAACCAATCAGAGTCTCATCTCCCATTCCCTTTAAGAGTCAGTTGTATCGCGCCAAGAGTGCATTTGCTATTTACATGACATAAAGTAAGTGTAAGTGGAAAAACTGAGCATTTCACTAGCAAGAAAACAGTAAAACAGAACATCTGCAGCGCAAGAATGAGAGATAAATTATTAACTTTCACTTTTGCTCTCGTGGATAGGGAAACTTTGTACACACAGAGATCAATTAGCCTATAAATAATTAATTTAGTTTTTTTAAGCGCAAAGATTTGTTTCAAAACTATTTCTAAATTCAGTTCTAATTTTCAGCAAACGAATAAATGTACAATAATAACGAAGTGTGCTCAAAAAACTGAGTTATATCCTAATACACATGCTATGCCCCATATGGTCTAAAACCTGACAGGTGGACAAATCTAAGCTTGTTTTTAATAAAACAAATATAAATATGGATATAATAAATAATACTGCTAATAATAATAACATTATACAAAAGCAAATTGTTATGAATGAACTGAAAAAGCCTCCCGAGATGAAGAAGGCATGAAGGCAGTGATTTTTCATATTTATGTAGGCTAGAAAATAAAAAGTTTTGTAATATTTTAATCCTTTATATTTATATCCTATATCTATTCTTATTATATCATATATATATCCCTAATAGTTTAAATGTTTTTCATATGTAAAGATATTTGCGTATTGCTCTACATCTTGTGTGTATTTAGCAATGTGTGAGCGAGGCGCACAACTAACGCGCTCTGCGCTGGACAATAGACTGACTTTGTTCTGGTCTATTGAAAAGTCTATTACAGTTTCTCAAAATAGCAACGCACCAGCAATACATATCAACATGCCTCCCTTTTTAGACCAGAACGCCTATGGGCGCACATATGAGCACAAATGCATTTGCTATTTAAACAGCGTGGCGCAAAACGTCAAAACAACTCTTGCGCCAAGCTGAAACTAGCAAACAACAATTGCGTCGCGCCTTGCGCCACATTGCACCGGGTGTATGATAGGACCCTCAGTATTTATCAACGCACCTGTGTTTCTAGTGTAAATCGTGTCTAGGTGCAGTCTATTATTATATGATTCAGCTCTGCTTTGTTTCAGTCTTGCCAGATTAAGTTATTGTTTTGATAACTTTATTTATTACAGACGTTACTTTTTCCCCTCGGCTTTGTTATTAGTTTTTAGGTTGTAGGGATCCAGTTTTTAAACCAGATTTTTTTGGCCTGTATCAGCTATTCCAGCAGTAGAAACATATGGTATGTTTCCAGATTGGACTCTGGCACCCTGTTGTTGGTAAAGGGTCAATAGGCAGTTCCCTGCAGTTTCCTGTTATGTTAACTGATTAATATTAATCACTGGTGCTTTTCATCTCCACAGGTGAAAGGAATGTTCTGGAATCTTTACTGGGCACGGTAGAACAACAGATCGGTGCTCAAGGGGTAAAAAAAAACTATTTTTTTGTTTTTTGGACACTTAGGCACACTTACAATTTCTATTAATTGCTAATAAAATATCAAACCATTTCACTTTTATCCAGTTTGTGCTTCTATGTTCTGCAGCTTTTTGGAAGCAATGTGTTTTTGCAAGTTTAAAGTATTCTGGATTGATTGTAGGACATGACTATGGAGTTTGCCACTGCCACAAACCCCACAGCTATTACTCCAGAGGAGTACTTCAACCCCAACTTCGACCTGCAGGGCAGAGACATCGGCCGGCCCATTGAGCTCACCATCAGAACACAGAAGTAAGACTAGCCATTCACTTAGTCTCATCACCTTGTGCAATGTTGACCCAAACTATAATTATACAGTTTTTGGTCTAGTGTGTTTTGTAGCGCTACCTTGGGTGGTTTAGGGCCAATCCTAAAGCCGCCTTTCCACTGCACACGACAAGCGACAGACTGGAAGTCATTCATTTCCGGGAGCTGCGTTGAGTTCCGATCATCTCCGTATGCGGAAAATTCGGATCCGAATTTAGCTGCGGATCCGTTGAAATATTTGAACTCCTGCGACTAGACCACATGCGACCTGCCGACCGGATATTATGTATTCCAGTGTTGTCCAAGCAGGTCCGTGCGCGCGAGATTAGAAATAGTAGTTTATTTGGTTATTCTTTGAATAATAAAAAGTCTATATTAAAGAAAAACATTTTTGTTCATAAATGTAAGTAAGAAAGTAATGAAAATATATATTTTAATGTTGTCTCCACATTCCCTCCAATATTTTAGCGGTCTATGAGTTTCTAGTATTCATTCATCCATTAAACTATGTAAACGCTCAGAGAATAAAGGCTATTTCCTTTGCAGTTCTTTATTTCGAACACCGTGAGAATCAGCTTCTCCCCCGTGGTGCACGACAACACTAAAAATACTGTGCGGCTGCCACAAGGGGGCGTATTCCAACAGTCGTGTCCAAATTTCGTGTGCAGTGGAAAGACGGCTTAAGTCTACCCCTTAGCCCTTTCTCTTACCCCTACCCCTTGATTTGCGTGTTCCTATAAAGGGGTTGGGGTGTCCCAATTTTCTTTAGCTTAAAGGCGTAGGGCTAAGGAGAAGGGGTAGATAACCCTTCGTACGGAGAATTTTCAGAACCACACTTGAAACTAAGGGGTAAAAAAAATTTCCTGAAGACACCAGCCACAACGGCAGCATAGCTGAACTCGGAAGTCAGGAGATCCACAAATTAGTATTTTTTGTCATTATTACAGATTTTTACAACAAACAAGCATATGTTTCATTACATTCATAACCACGTTCGTGTTTTGCCGTCAAGCTTTAAAAAAAAAAAAAAAAGTGTTTTTTTTCTATCTGTAATTTCTAATAATAACTCCTATACTGCAGTCCCACAACATTCTGACACTCGAATACCCTGTCAGAAAAGTCTAGTGGCTGGGAATGGGCTTTTTACAGTGTCTGCTATAATGTTAATGTTGCTTTTGGTATGTTTACATAGTTGAATATGGCCACTGTGTAAATGCGCAGTATAGTTACGATCTTATTGCCACATTATATCGTTATGATAACATAATATATGCCTTCAGTGATATCTTGGAAGATAAATACCAAAAAATAATGCAACTAACGTTAAAAGCAAGAGATTGCGACGACATATGATGATGTGTGCAGGTGGTGTAGTGCTGTCCCATTTCTTAGGGGTAAATTTTGAAGGGGTAGGGGTACAAAAATAGAATTGGGATTGGGCCTTAGTCGTGTTATGAATAAATAAAACATAAAATTAAAACAACCAGTAGGTGGCAGCAAGTAGTTATCTTAATGAGTAATTAATCAAATCATCCTTTCAAACGATTCACTCAAAAGTCAAAACAGCTTCAAATATTTCTGAAGCGCTGTTTTAAAGAGAGATTTTTTTCAGCACACTTTAAACAATAGTTTTTATATTTAACTTCTTTTCGATGACAAAACATAATCCTTTACTAGTTATTGTTACTAAGATTGTTTTCAGCCTTAAGTGCAATTTAAAGGCTTAAGTAGGTTAACTAGGCAAGTTAGGTCAATTAGGCAAGCCATTAAAAAACAGTGGTTTATTTTGTAGCCAACTGAAAAACAAAGCTTTAGGGGTTCAATAACTTTAACCTTAACCGTTTGAATTTTGTGTTAACTAATATACTTTATTTTTATTTAGCAAAACATAATGAAATGGGACTTGTGGAAAAAAATATTATTTTAAAATAATGTGGAAAAAGTCTTTGCTCTGTTAAACATCACTTAGAAAAAGATTAAACATTTCACTTCTTTATTAGGTGTGGTAATAATTTTGTCTTCAGCTTTATATAGTGTGAAAAATACTAAGTATGCTATACATTTAAAAAATTATCAAAATATTGCATTCATAATATGGAGAAAGTTCTTTTTCTGTGGTTATGAGGTAACTACTTAGTCAAAATTAGTTGATACCGACTCAAGACTATGTGATTTTAGACACAAAATTGAATTTATAAATGGACCAATGAATCATCATCTCAGATGATGTATTCAAATACAGATTTAATCAAGAATAATAACTGACACTGTAGTGTTGAAATTTCTGCTCTGATTTTGCTTGGAACTATTTTCATAGTCGGAGAAATCAAATCAAAATAAAGAAAGAAAAGTATCAAATTGAAAACGTCACTCACTCCATATTACCAAACTGCTATGATACTCATGGTGATGATCTGCAAAAACTGAAAACAGCAGTCATATCTAGTAAAATAGCATATTTTTTAATAACTTCAATTACAGGGTCATTTTATCTGTCTTTCAGTAGTCTTCATTACACAATGAATGCTTTTCAACTCCGTATGTGTATCTTTATTTTATTTTTTGCAAACCGAGTAACATTCTTGATAAGGTCAGCTTGCACATAACCAAAACTGTTACTGTTTATCAAATGAATGCATCCTGTCTCGGTAAAAATGTACATTTTTTTCAAAACTTGATATAGATAGTTTTACATTTTGTCTTTTGTCAGGTTTAAAGGCACTCTGTGGATGAGTGAGGAACATCCTCTCTCTCTGGTAGAGCAGGTCACTCCTATTATTGACCTGATGGCTCGCACCAGCACTCACTTCGCCCGACTCAAGGACTTCATCAACCTCAGGTTTCCCCCTGGCTTCCCGGTGAAGATCGGTGAGGGAAAGAATGCAAAACAGTAACAAACAGCCCTGTTAATCTTTTTAGGAAGTCTGATTAAAATTTGCTCTTGTATTAAGTCTATATGTCGGCTTGAATATTAACTTTAACCAGCACCAAACTGGAATTTAATCCATTATTAAAGTTCACCCAAATGTCTGCTAATTGTGTATGGTGGAGGGTTTAGTATTAAATAACTAAACTGTTAGTTTCCCAAGACTGCTTTCACCATTCAATCCTGCATTTGTTTTGTTGTTGTTTTTCCCTTTAGAAATCCCTCTGTTCCATGTTTTGAATGCCCGCATCACTTTTGGAAGTGTCAACAAGTGCAGTACTGATGAGCCGCTGGACACCAAAACACCGGCTTCTACACCCACACCTACTGAAGAGACGTGCGACAACCAGGCAGCAGGTTTGCATGTGATGTCCAAAATAAAAATGCAGACAAGACCTGTTATGTGTATACCAATCACAAAACTCCCCACACATTCATTACTATAATTGAGTCATTTGGTTTGATCCAGGAAAATGTTCTTACATTTTTCAGTTCATACAAGTTTGTTTTGGATGAACTGTAAGTTTGAGATTTTAGGCTTTTCCTTTTCATTTTTTTTTTCAATTTAATAGAAAGAAGAAATCCAAAATGTACTTTTAAGTGTTTGTTTTGTAGCACGGTTTGTAGGTTTCAGTCACAATACAGACAGTGCCCAGCATAAAAATCATCCCTTACAGATCTTTCTTTTAGGGTGCTTTCACACCAGTGAATCGATTCAGTTGTTCCGAAACAGAGATTACAATTGTTACATTGTTGCTCTTTGCTCTTGGAGCGGTTCGCTTTCACACTGCAAAGTTTCTAATCGGACCAAAAGAGCTAAAACAAGTCACGTGCAAGTAAACTCTCCTCACATTGGTCAGAGTGTCAGGGTTTATTTTGCAGCGTCCCACTCAGCTGTCAGGAGAGGTGGTGGTTTGGTGGTGATTGACAGGGTACGTGCACGTGACGTGTCTGAGGAGAGACGCGGTGGGGAGGGGTGAGAAGGGTGCACGGCGATGCCTATTTGAGTACTGGGAGGGAGACACAAGATTACCGGGAGATCATCACTCGTTTGCGGGCATCCGAAGACTCGCGAAACTTCCGGCCCTACTCATAATTCTCTCTTTATATAGCCGTATGCCTATTACATATCCATAAAACACTGTGATATAACCGCGCTCGGATCGGATCACTTTCTCACTGCAATCGAACCGCTCCAGGGTTCGTTTCAATCGAACCAAGACCACCTCATTCAAGCGATCTCGGAGCGATTACTTTGGCGCGGAACAGAGCGCGATTGCCCTGTTCACATATGCCAAACAAACCACGCTAACTGGGCAAACGAGATACGTTCCGAAACAAAAGTGTAGGTGTGAAAGCACCCTAAAATTACTACATTCTATAGTAGGCAGCACGGAGGCTCACGGCTTCATCAGTTGGCATTTCTGTGTGGAGTTTACATCTTTTTTCCATGTTCATGTGGATTTCCTACAGGTGCTTCGGTTTCCCCCACAGTCCAAAGACATGTGGTATAAGTAAATATATATATATATATACATATACATATATATATATATATATATATATATATATATATATATATATATATATATATATATATATATATATATATATACATCCTCAGCAACACTTACATATACCAAACAAGCCTAAAAAGTTTGTTTTTTTTTTTTTTTTTTTTTTAGGATTTTTTTTTTCAAAGGAATATGCGTATACACTCTGTTTATAGGACTATGGTTAAAAAAAAAAAAAAAAAAAAAAATATATATATATATATATATATATATATATATATATATATATATATATACAAGTAAACATGTATATATAATAAATAAATAAATAAATAAACATGTATATATGTACATGTCACCATTTTTCTCAAGCACTTCTAAAGGTGTTTTTGACTTGAAATTTTCACCAGATGCTGGTAAAAACCAAGTAAATCCATGTGTGCAAAGAAAACCAAACAAATTGGTTTACAAATTAAGTTACGTGTAGGGCCAGACAGAATTTGCGGACATGTTTTGCTATTTTTGCTGAGAATGTTTTTGAAAATCTGCGAATTTATGCAGAATTATTTTGGGAGTATCGTAACTAAAACCTTAATAAATTAAACAAAAAAATAATAATTTTTTTTATGGTTACAATACAAATCCATAGATCCACTTATTAGGTAAACAAACCAAGTGTCTCATTTAATATATATGCTAAAAGACAGAAAATATTACTTTACACACTGTATTGTAAATAAATCAAAGGAACACTTTCATATTAGTCAATAATATTATTGAAATAAATTTAAAAAACTGAATAAATATAAATTTACACACATTTACACAAGTAAATAAATAGACTCAACGATGGGCAAAAAATCTGTTAACATCTGTGGATTTCTGCAAGTGCAGATTCCGTGTGGGCCTAGTTATGTGTAATAAAATAATATTTAGGTAAAAATGGAATTCTGGTGATTGCTATTAGTTTTTTTTGTTTGTTTGTTTGCTATATTCACCTCTAAATGTTTTGATTGGTTTACCAGCTCCTGCAGGACCTGCTCCATTATTCCAGGTTAGTCCATCTGTGTTTTTGGCTCCTGCACACTATCACCATCGAGGAGGCTATCGACACGCAAACCCACGCCAGTACAACCCAGTCAATCACGATGAAGAGCTGCTCCAGTACGCCATTCACCAGAGTCTGCTGGACTCCAGTGTGCTCAACTCTCAGGTCAGAAAGGAAACTTCCTGCGAGCGTGTCTTGAACATTTATTGTTGTTTGTCTCTAATATGAAATCTGGCACACTTTGTTAATGTGTGATTTAGGACACTTGGAGTGATTCTGATGGACAGGCGACACAATCCATGACAAACCGCTTGAGTGATGGGTAAGGTTTTTACATTTTCATAATAATGTGTCTTGTCTGTGATCCTAGGGCTAGGCCTGTCACGATGTCTAATTTTTGTTGATCAATGTATTGCACCTAAATCCATTGCGATTAAATGCTGTTATTGTTCTTTTAAGCCACTTATTTTGTAATGCCAGAATGACAATATGATGGCATCATAATAATGCAAGTAAACTCTTTCAACGAACGCTTTTATTCTCAAAGCTGTTGTATGTAAGTTTTTAACTCTTCTATAGCATAAAAATACCATAATATGTTTGCAGATATTTAAGAAACATGCTACGTGAACATTATTGTTTATCTGAAAAACAATGCTGAAGTCAGATATTCTGCTCTGAAAATGTGTTTTCCGTGCTGGAACGCTGTCTTTTTTTTGGTCATTTAACTAGCCCACTGTCACTTTAGCCAATTATTTCTTTTAGGTGATGCATACAGGGTGATCTTTCAAAATTTCAAGTTTTCTCAATGATCTCATCACCACAGGTCTGGTTCTGAGGGCGTTCTGGTAGACCTCAGTGACACCACGCCCTCCAGCTCTGGCTCCGCCTCTAGCCCAGACACTGACCTGCGATTGGCCATGGAGCTCTCGGCCCGCGCGCAAGAGGAGGAGGAAAAGAGGAGGAAAGAAGAAGAAGAGGAATTAGAGAGGATTTTACAACTCTCCTTAACAGAAAAGTGACAAAGTAAGACGAGGGAAGGAAAGACAAAGGGAGTTCCTGTTATTGCCATAAGCATTAAATCTTTTTTTTTTAATTATACCCTTCCTAAAATTCATGCAGTTCTCTGTTTGCCACTGACATAAACTACACATATTTAAATAATCGATTCAGAACTGAAAGGTTCTACCTTCTTATCCAAAATGAGATCACTCATCCTTTCCATCTTGCTTTTCCTAAGGCGATTCTGCATTTGATATGAAATCCAGTGCTGCTTTTTTTTATGTAAATGAAAGGTTGTGATGTTCTTGACAGTCCTGCGAGTTGCTGACTAGAAAGTTTTTCATTTGATATAACTGAAAAGATGGTGGATTTTTTGCATTAACGTTTGCTTTAGGTTTATATTAATATTATATCTCAGGGTTCAACTGATCACCAGTTGTCGCTTCCTTTGAAACCATTTTATACACAGCCAAGGAAAGTGAGAGAAATGAATGTTTTTTCACATAGCAGTTAGGACGGCACCATCCTCAGCCCGTGTGCTTTCGTCAACTTTCTGGCAATAAATCCCACCGCTGTGCCTCGCCAGAGTGAAAGGCACTCATTCAGACCGGAATATTCCTGAAACGGGCTGTTCGATGTAAGAGAATACGCCTCAAGCTTTTAGTCTGTCTCATATGTAAAACGATACCATAAAACTGCTTAGATCGCCAATAGTATGTTGTAATGCAAAGCATGAATATGGCAGTACTGGGTCACTTTTCTGGCACCAACCAAACCTCATGCTACACTAAAGGACGAGGGGAATGTGTGACAAGAAAACCAGCCGTTTTTTGATTGAGAAGTGGATGTTAAAGGGATAGTTCTACCAGAAATGTAAATTTCCTCCTCATTTACTCTCTCGCGAGGGCTTTCATACTTTTAATGAGTTTTCTTTTTCATGCTGAACACAAAAAGAGATATTTTGAGAAATGTTATAAACTTGTAACTATTGACTTTGATGGTCAGAAAAGCAAATTCTATGCAAGTAAATGGTTACCGGTTTCCAACATTTTTCAAAATAGTCTCCTTTTGTGTTCAACAAAATTAGGAACTCAAACGGGTTTTAACGCAAAAAGAAGATATTTTCAAAAAATGTTAAAAACCTGTAACCATTAAAATCCATAGTAAAAAAAGAAATACCATAGATGTCAATGGTTACCGGTTTCAAACCTTTTTCAAAATATCTTCCTTTGTGTTCAACAGAATTACAAACTCAAACAGGTTTGAACACAAAAGAAGATATTTTGAAAAATGTTAAAAACCTGTAACTATTGACTTCCAGAAAAGGAAAAACAAGTATTATTGAGGTAAACAAATACATTTTTTCAAAATAATCTGCTCTTGTGTTCTTATGTGCTTGTTCAAACTACCTATTTAAAATGAGCTGAAACAACACAATTTGTATTTTTGAGGGAAACTTAATTGTTTTATCTTTAAGCCATTTACATTTAAGTTACCTTAATTAATTTGTGTTGGCACAACATGAATAAATTGAGTAGAACCCTGGATTTTGTTTTACAGTGTAGAAACTCAAAACAGTTTTGAACATAAAAGAAGATATTTTGAAATATGTTGGAAACCTGTAACCATTGACTTCTATAGTATTTGTTTTTCCTACTATGTAAGTCGATGGTTACTGGTATCAAACCTTTTTCAAAACATCTTCTTTTGTGTTCCACAGAAAAAAGAAATTTAGTCTGAAAACAACATTTTCCTGTAACTATTAACTTCCAAAGTGAGAATTACAAATAATATGGAAGTAAATGGTTACTGGGTTACAAGAATTAAAAAAAAATCCATAGAATAAAAAAAATGCTATGGAATTCAGTGGTTACGAGTTTTCAGCATTTTTTTAATTATCTGCTTTTGTGGTTAACAGAGTTGAACTAAAAAGAAAAAAAAGGGATTTTACTGCTTTTTCAAGGTATTTATTTAAAATGAGTTGAAACAACTTGATTGTTTTGTTCTATTTTGAGTAGACCCCTACATTTTCTTACAGTGTAGAAACTCAAACAGGTCTGAACACAAAAGAAGATCATTTTAAAAATGTTAAAAACCTGTAACCATTGACTTTTATAGTATTTGTATTTCCTACTATGGAAGTCAGTGGTTACCGGTTTCAAACCTTTTTTTATGAAATATCTTTTGTGTTCATCAGGAAAAAGAAACTCAAACAGGTCTGAACACAAAAGAGGAGATGTTGAAAAATGTTGGAAACCTGTGTAACCATTAAATTCCATAGTATTTGTATTTTCACAAACAGTAGAGTAATAATGTTTAAGCTTTTTTTAAAGTATCTTCTTTAGCATTCTACAAGTTTAAGAAACTTTTTTTTTACGACTTGAGGGCGAGTAAATTTGGGTGAACTATGTCTTTAAAGTGTTTTTTTTTTTTAGATAATGTGTGCGGTTGGACGGCATTGCTTGCTGACTGAGGTTCTGATGTGATAAATGTGGAAGAACCTGCCCGGCTCTGTTCGGGAATCTCGCTGTTCCTTCCTCCTGTAGCTGACAGCGCTATTTATTTAGTCAAAATGTGTTGATTCATTTTTTTATTTTTCTTGATGTCTTGAATGTTCAGCTTTTTGTTCTGTAAGTGTTTTTAAAGGAGTATTGACTTCCAGCTTGCAGTATCTCTCTCACTACTTTTTGTATGACGAACCAGTGTGCGCTTGAACCGATTTTGTTTTTTAACGTTATCCTCATTGTATGCCATTAATAGACAGAAATCGTATTTTGCTCTTCCAGTAGTAAACAAGGATCTGAGAATGGTTAGAGCCACAATCTTGCATTGATTTATTAACAGGACATATATTTTAGGGTTTTTTATGCTGTGTTTAAATAACAAATTGAAAAAAATATACAAATAAATTCTGGTTATGGTTATTAGCACATCATTAATCCGGGATACAGAATTCAGTTTCATTATTTAAACATGATTTAACTTTTGGTATTTGGGTGTAAGTCTTAACTCTAATTAATTGCCAAAATGTTTATTGGTTTGTGTACCTGATCAGGGTTTAGCGTCGGTTTGATTCCTGGTTAATTGTCATGCTGTAAGATCAAGTATCCTGTTTTTTTTTAGCATGTTAAAGAAATCCTAAAGGCATTTGTAAAACTGTGATGTATGTTTGACAAACACACACACACAAAAAAGGTTTTTACTTAAATAAAAGCACTTTATTGACGTTATGGCGCTTTGTTAACTATAAGACAGTCAAATAAATTATAAAAACAGCATAATCTGATCAGTTGTTTAAAATTCTCCTTTAACTTTTTGAAACTTATCAATAGCTTTTCGTATGCTTTTTTTTTTTGTATCACCATGTTACTTCAGTTTTAACATTTGTGATGGTTCATTTAGTGACTATTTTCAAATCTGAGTTTGGGTTTTTCAGACGCACACTACCTGATAAAGTTTTAGGAACACCAGATAATAACTTGACTTCTAGTTGATCGTTTGGCATCAGGAGTGGCTTATATGAAAGACAAAGGCCTTTAGATTACGCTTATTTTACCAAAGTAAAATGTGATCATGCCTTAATTTTTAATTATTTAATTAGGACAGTGAGGCCTGACTTTGCTGAGACAAAAATATTGTGACTTAACACAAATAATATATAGAATAAGTCATACTGCAGTGGAAAAAGATACATCTCTGCAATGACTGAAATACCTTATTAATAAAGTCATCTGGGATCAAAGCGTTCATGCAGGATGTCCAGAGTTCATCAAGATCCTCTGGATTCATCTTCAGCGCCTCCTTCATCTTACCTCAGACATGCTCAATAATGTTCGTGTCTGGTGACTGATCTGGCCATTCCTGGAGCATATTGACCTTCTTTGCTTTCAGGAATTTTAATGTGGAGGCTGAAGTATAAGGAGCAGTATCCTGCTGAAGAATTTGCCCTCTCCTATGGTTTGTAATGTAATGGTCATCACAAATGTCTTGATACCTCAGTCTGTTGATGTTTCCATCCACTCTGCAGATCTCTTGCATGCCTTCATACCGAATACAAACCATGATGTTTCCTCCATCAAACTTGACTTATTTCAGAATATTGGGTCAATGTGGGCTCCAATAGGTCTTCTGCAGTATTTGTGAGAGAGGTCTGGATGCAGACCTGGTGCAGTGCAATCTGAGCTGCATCCAGTGCTTTTTAATGCGCTCGCCTAACCCCACCCGTCACAGTGACGTCACTCGCCTTGTCTCTGACATTGCATCGCTGAGTAATGCAATCTCAGCGTGCATCATAAAGACTGCACCCAGATATTATTGGTATTTGTGATGATTGGGATGCAGTTCAACAGATGATTAATCGGCAAATCTACCTTCTGCTACTTTTTCAAATGTTCAACTAGAGGTCAAGTTATCATTTATTGTCAAGTGTAATTAAAGTCATTATTATAGTTACATAATAATTTATTACATGAATTTTTTTCTGATTTCACTTTTATAGATGAAGATATACATATACAAGTTATCATAACTAATATATGACAGCATAGTCTATGACCCAGAAAGTCTTTTCACACATATTTCTACATTGTGAATTAATTTACAGAAAGGCACTGATTTTAACAGTAAAAGCTACATTACAGCAATTATTACTTCATTAAAAGCCAGACTTAGGTTTGTTAGCATTGATTAATGCATTTCCAATTAGTGTAATGTTGTTTCAACATCAAGAAAGATTTATACTGTAAATACCATGAAAATAAATAGCTTACATGTCAATGTGGCGCTGTCATCGGCCCGTAAACATTTCCAGATTGTTGTCAAACTATTTCATAAGAGGCAATTCAATCATGACTTAACATTAAAACAGCAATAATAATTTTTATTTATTTTTTTATCAATATGTACCCTTCTTGGGTTCTCGGAAGATATGGAAATTAAAAATGTAAAACAGGAAATACGGTAGGACCATTGTTATTGTTTACGTCCCTCAAAACGGTCTAGCTATTGAAGATTATTGTTACCAAGTAAGCCGACAGATGGCACTGTTTTGATGCTTACCGATTTATTTCTAAACGCTTTTTATATAATAACGGTTTACAAAAACTATTCATTTATTACAGTATTGTGTGGTTTTGTTTTTCTTTCCCACAGTCACACATATAGACTTTATTGTTATAATATGAGTTATAATTAGTTAATATTAATATTGGTTAGAGAAAATGTAAGCATGTTTATTTCACAGGCACATACAGTATGTAACAAAGAAGGTTGTTTATTCCTACAAACATGCTTTTTTTCCCCATTGAGAACAAATTTAGTGAACGGTTGTCTGGGCATCTGAAGAGCCCTGTGTTGGCAGAGGAATGTCAGCTGTGGTTTGAGGCGAATTGCAGTCTTCAGGAATGAAGTTAGATCCTTACAAGTGGAATTGAAGAAAACATTCATGGAGTGTCAAATTACATCAAACATTAAAACAGAACTTTTTGGATATTTCTGCATTTACCTTTTTTATCATTTAAATTAGACAGTGCATGAAAGTTCTCTACACTTCACCGGCCACTTTATTAGGTACCTGACTAGTACCGGGTTGGACCCACTTTTGCCTTCAGAACTGCCTTAATCCTTCGTAGCATGGATTCAATAGCGTACTGGAAATATTCATCAGAGTTTTTGGTCCATATTGACTCAATAGCGTCACACTACAGGATTTGTCGGCTGCACATCTATGATGCGAATCTCCCTTTCCACCACATGCTAAAGGTGCTCTACTGGATTGAGATCTGCTGACTGTGGAGGCCATTTGAGTACAGGGAACTCATTGTCATGTTCAAGAAACCAGTCTGAGATGATTTGCGCTTTATGATATGGCACGTTATGCTGCCGGAAGTAGCCATCAGAAGATGGGTACACTGTGCTCATAAAGGGATGGACATGGTCAGCAACAATTCTCAGGTAGGCTGTGGCATTGACATGATGCTCATTTGGTACAAATGGACTCAAAGTGTGTCAAGAAAATATCCCCCACACCATTACAACAGCACTAGCCTAAACCGTTGATACAAGGCAGGATAGATCCATGCTTTATGTTGTTGACACTAAATTCTGACCCTACCATCTGAATGTTGCAGCAGAAATCAAGACTCATCAGACCAGACAAAGTTTTTCCAATCTTCTATTGTTCAATTTTGGTGAGCCTGTGCGCTCAGTTTTCTGTTCTTTAGCTGACAGGAGTGGCACCTGGTGTGGTCTTCTGCTGATGTAGCCCATCTGCCTCAAGGTTGGATGTGTTGTGCGTTCAGAGATGCTCTTCTGCATACTTCAGTTGTAATGAGTAGTTATTTGAGTTACTGTTGCCTTTCTTTCAGCTGGAACCAGTCTGGCCATTCTCATCTGATCTCTGCCATCCACAAGGCATTTGCGCCCACAGAACTGTCGCTCACTGGATATTTTCTCTTTTTTGGACCATTCTCTGTAAACCCTAGAGATAGTTGTGCATGGAAATCCCAGTAGATCAGCAGTTTCTGCAATACTCCAAGCAGCTTGTCTGACACCATCAACCATGCCACATTTAAAGTCACTTAAATCACCTTTCTTCTCCATTCTGATGCTTGGTTTGTTCTGCAACAGATCGTCTTGACCATGTCTACATGCCTAAATGCATTGAGTTGCTATCATGTGATTGGCCGATTAGAAATTTGCTTGTTGCATTTACGTTAAAAAAGCCATGCATTTATGTGCAATTGTGGTATTAGTCCATTAAAGATACCAAGCAGCATTGACGTGTAAAATTTTTATTTTAAGTTTAACAGTTTGTTTAAAAATAAGATTTAATTTTTTTTTGTACCACAAAACATAAATTAATTCTTTAATATTTTTACAAACCTCGTGAAGTTCCTTTATAAACTCCCATTTGAAAAAATAATATAAAGTTTACAGAATAGAATAAATTCTTATTTTATTTTAATATATTGACAAACTCTGTTTCTCTCCGTTTTATTCATTTTAAAGACGTCCAGAATGGGGTCTGCTTTAATATCCTTTTCAAATCAGTGTGATAATATAAATAAAGTAGCCTGATTACATTACATCAATTATGTAATGTGTTTTCTAATGTTGGAATATCTAGCCAATTCCATGCGTGTTCAATAAGAAAAGGTCTGGAGAGGGTTTTCTTCAATGCCAAAAATCGTAACAATTTATTGGATACAAATTAATAATTCCATGACAGAGGTCTGTGTTACGTTACCCCAATGCAATACAAGAATTACATTCAGGAGGTTCGCAACTAACATACATTTCCTGCCTCCAGCATATATAAACAACTGATATTAACAGGTGGAGTTTTGGTGTAACGTCATTTGTCAGTCATTGTTCAGTCCTCCATTGGCCGCACCTTCGACATACTTCCTCTTTTTCTATGAATTCTGTGCACAACAACAAAGCATATATCTTTCTGTGTTCTGTGTTCAGTTTTAATGCCTCTCTTCAGACAGGAAGTTTCTGCAGAGCTGAATTTAATTTTGGACCCGCATCTATCTACTTCTGCAAAAATGCTAATTAGTATGCACAGCACTCACACACAACATTAGAAGTTCAGTTAATATATGACCTTTACATGACCAATACAAATAATCGTTAGATTAAAAGAAAAAGAGACAAAAATAATAAAAAAATGATTCCTATTTTCCAATACTAACTACAGTTTTAATTATTTAATAATCATGTCTACATGTACTGTTTGTTCAAAGCGAGTTTTTTTTTTTTTAATAAACTGCTAAATTTGAAACGTGACATTGGTTTTATATACAAACTGGCTGACTGTTTTGGCTTGTAACCACATGTAATTTTCTGTACATTGTCAGCTAAAAATGTCTTCCAGCAGCTGATCAGCTTTAATAGCATGCCTTTATGTCAGTTAACATGATGACAGAATGTGTTTCAGAAAGATCTCGAGTCACCTGACGTAAAAACAGAAAGATCCTGAATGTAGTGTTGTTTTAAAAGCCTTTAATTATTTGTGCAGGAAATTGTTTCCTTCACTTATTTGAGTTGCTTGACTTAATCAGCTCAAGTGTCTTGTGCTACATCCGCCTATTAGTCGAAGCAACTTTCTGTTAACCATTTCATTGACTTCAGCTCAGCAGGTACTTTTTTTGTTCACCTGCAAAAAAAATGCAGGAGCAGGGGGATAATAATAATGGTAGACCTAATAACTTTTTTTTTTTTACCTCAGCAGATGCAGGTCTTATTACCTGTGACTGGATTAGAACTATATTTACCTATGAGAACTATAAATGCACACAGGGACTAGTGAGATTGAGAAGAGGACAGGGAAATAAGAAAGTGAAATAGTACTGATATGTAGTGTGAATGTCTAAACCTGTGGTCACCAAACTTGTTCCTGGAGGGTTGGTGTCCTGCAGAACACACCTGAACAAGCTAACCAAGGTCTTACTAGGTATACTTGAATCATCCAAGCAGGTGTGTTGAGGCAAGTTGGAACTAAACCCTGCCCTCCAAGACTGAGATTGGTGACCCCTGGTCTAAACAGTGCTAAAATGATTTATTACATTTGGTTTATGTAATCAGATACTATACAAGATATTCACATTAGGATGGCCACAGAAATTGCAAGTAGAAATATGATGATGTTAAGAGTTCATCTAACAAAACATGATTGTTAAAATTGAATAAAAAAACATTTTGGCAACACGGTACCTCAGCAAGAAGGTCGCTGGTTTGAGTCCCAGCTGGGTCAGTTGGCATTTCTGTGTGTAGTTTGAATGTTCCCCTTGTGTTCCCTCCAGATTTCTCCCTCAAGCAAAGAGATGGGGTATAGGTGAAATGAATAAACTAAACTGGCCATATGTGTGTGTATGAAAGTGTATGAGTGTTTCCCAGTATTGGGTTGCAGCTGGAAGGACATCCGCTGTGTAAAACATTTGCTGGATAAGTTGGCGATTCATTCCACTGAGGCGACCCCTTATAAAGGAACTAAGCTGAAGGAAAATGAATGACTGAATGAAAAACCGATTTCACTGCACATTCGATTCGTACAGATTGAGGTTTCGACTTTCATTTATTAGTTCAGACATGTCAAAACCATTCAGATAAACTTAATAATATAAATACAATATAATCACATAAAAATATAAAAATAGTATCAAATCATACATAAAAAAAAATCACACTGTAAACAATTTAATAGCTTAGCAGCAGATATATACACTAGATATCTCATAGGGACTCTGAGCATGCATCAATAACGTCGCCATATTGGTACAGTGCTCCAAGGACAAAAGTCATTCAACCGCACCAGTCAAGACTAAAGCCGATCTGAAGATGCTGGACTTTTGCACAGTGTACAGGTGTAGTAACAAGCAAACAAAACATAAAATTAAATTGGAAAGATTTCATTTTTTATAATTTTGTATGTTAAAAACTTTTGTGTAGTAATGTTATTGATGACACTTACTGCACTGAAAAAACAGCTAAATCCTAGGCGTATGCTAGTTTTGTTGAATAAAATCAGCAAACAATGTAAATAAAATATGAGAACAAGACACTGTGGTGCTAGAAACTTGTATTATTGTCGGCTAAGTGAAGTAATGGCTGTTTTTGAAGTAATCTATAAGGCTGCCTAACATAACAGTGCCTGCGCCACACTGTGCATACTGTCCACCATAAATCATGACCAGTCCTCTACTGCACCTTGGTCCCACATTCGTTTCAAAGGAGCTCTACCCTGTACTAAAATGGCAGCTCTATTAACACATTCCTTCAATACAACATAAATTGTAGGCGACATCTAATGTAAACATCTATGGCTGCAAATAATCAAACAATCCTAAACATGTTTAAAATAGTGATTCAGTTTAAAAACTTAAATTATAATGTTTAACTTTACAGTTAAAGTTCTACTCTCGTTTGATTGGATTTTATGATTTGAGGACTCTGTTTCTAATTGTATTTTGAATATTCATTTGGTCGAGCTGACGTTGATTCGTAACCTTCCAATAGTAACCCTGCATCCAGAATATTTAGTAGTTCGTGTTGACGTTGCGCTGTTTGTGTCCAATAGCGAAAGCTTGGCTCATTAATATTCAGAATCAGGCCTTCGCCATAGTAATGTTCAACTCCAGGCGTCTTGAATCCACATTGGGCCAGTCAGTCACCTGCGTCGGAGAGGTTTGTAGACACATACTGCCATACCAATCATGAACAACAACAGTGTAGACAGAACACTTAGAAGAAGAACTGCGGGAGATAAAATAAACAAATCAAATACTGACTATTTTCAAATGAAACGTAGTATTATTACGATATATTTTTTTAACTGAGAGTCTAAAATTAGCATGTAGCCTACAGCATGTAGCGTTATCATGGCAGGTTCTCCTTTTGTAGATGGGACAGGCCTTGACAGGTTTATTGTCGGGTGCGACATTAAATTCCTTACCCAGATTTTGCCTCAGCAGGATTTCATAAGGTCTGGCGTTCACTTTAGACTCTCCCAGCTGAGCACTCCCAGACTGGAAAAGCGTTATGCAGAAAGCGGTGAGGGAGATCAGGCGTGCTGCTGACATTGTGGCGAAACGGCGAGTAGGATGCAATACAATCAGTCTTGAGTCCGTCCACACGTAAGTTATATACGGCTCTGTGAGGTCCTAACGCCGTCAGTTAACCGGCATCACATCCCTGTGCAGGGCCTCTGCTATCCTTATCAATTACGCACAGGGGCGGACTTAGTAATTTGGGGGCCCTAAGCAATTTCAGATATGAGGCCCTAGCAAATTTTAAAAATAAACTGTTAAAAAGTAAAAAGTGTGTGTGTGTATATAAAACTGTGTTGCCTTAAAGCAAAGAGGTTGCTGGTTTGAGTCCTGGATAAATCAGGGACTAAAGCCAAAGTATAGTGATTCATTATAAATTTGTATGTTTGATAAAGTGATAGTTCGCTCCAAATAATTTGTTGCTTACTATTTACTCACACTAAAGTGGTTTTAAATGTTTTTGAGTTTATTTCTTCCATCAAAACTAAAAACAAGATATTTTGATGTTATAGGGAAAACAGTCATTGATATCCATAATTGTAACATCAAGTCAGTGGCTGCTTTTCCCTCCAACATTTTTCAGTATATCTACATGTTTGTTTGACAGATAGAAACCCAAACAGGTTTGGAACATGTGGAGAGTGAGTACATGATGACAGCAATTTTAATTTTGGGTCAACTATTGCTTTAAATTATTAATAATAATAACAACAACAACAACAACAAAGACCATTAATAAAGCCAAAGGGAATGCTCAATTATTTATATTAAATATACCCTGATATTTTTCAGGTGACCGCATATTTAACCTACAACAACAGGTCACAATTATTTTACAGTAATAATTTGAGCTATATTATTTTTCTTAAATTTATTTCTAATAAATGAATCCATTGTGGGCGACGCAGTGACAGTTTTAGTGCTGTCGCCTCACAGCAAGAAGGTCACTGATTTGAGCCTCTGCTGGGTCAGTTGGCGTTTCTGTGTGGAGTTTGCATGTTCTCCCAGCGTTCACGTGGGTTTCCTCCGGGTGCTCCGGTTTCCCCCACTGTCCAAAGACATGCGGCCAAGGTGACTTGGGTAGGCTAAATTGTCCATAGTGTATGTGTGTGAATCAATGAGTGTGTATGGATGTTTCCCAGAGATGGGTTGCAGCTGGAAGGGCATCCGCTGCATAAAACATGTGCTGGATAAGTTGATGGTTCATTCCGCTGTAGCGACCCCAAATTAATAAAGGCACTAAGCCGAAAAGAAAATGAATGAATGAATCCATTATTAGTATTTTAATCACCTGTTAGTGAACTTTAGTTTGCTAAACCTTTGTTTAAATGTCCTCATGGCCTCAACTTCACCTTATACGAAATCCTGTTGTTGCAGGTCACATGCAGTCTGTCACTCGCTACAGCCTTTTCCACGCAACTCTTGGTCTTTCATTTTGGTAATTAACAGAAGAGGACAGAGCCTGCAGGCCTTTTGTTAGGCTCCTCTGTAGTTGAATCTGTGGTCCACCTCTCCTCCAGTCGCCTGCACTGAAGCCTTTGATCCATTCTGCGGCCTCTGCTAAAAGTGGCTGAATGAGGAATAGCATTATCTTTTCTCTATTCTCTCACCCTATACCTGAAACTGGCACAACTGAGCGCCGTTTCCCAGAGCTGTGATTGGTGGCGATTGAAGATCTGGTCTTTAATAAAACATCTCATTTAAATGCCTGACACAATGCTGTTCTCTTGGCCCTTGTATGTCTACAGATGCTGGATACTGCAGCTTAATGCAAATCAACATGTTAATTAAAGAGCAACTGTGCAAGGCTGTTCACACGAAGAGAGTGAAGGTGCGAATCACACACCAGTCCATATTCAATGGACGGATGGAGGGATTGATTGATTAAATACAGTGCATCCGGAAAGTATTCGTAGTGCTTGACTTTTTCCACATTTTTTTTATGTTACAGCCTTATTCCAAAATGGAATAAATTAATTTATTTCCACAAAATTTTACACACAATACCCCATAATGACAATGTGACAAAAGATTTTTTAAAACTGTTGCAAATTAAAAACAGATTTAAAAAAACCTGTAAAATCACATGTACATAAGTATTCACAGCCTTTGCCATGAAGCTCTATTCCTGTTTCCACTGTTCATTCTTGAGATGTTTCAGCAGCTTAATTGGAGTTCACCTGTGGTAAATTTAGTTGATTGGACATGATTTGAAAAGGCATACACCTGTCTACATAAGGTCCCAGTGTTGACAGTGCATGTCAAAGCACAAACCAAGCATGAAGACAAAGGAAGTGTCTGTAGACCTTCGAGACAGGATTGTCTTGAGGCACAAGGCTGGGAAAGGTTACAGAAAAATTTCTGCTTTTGTGAAAGTTTCAATGAGCACAGCGGCCTCCATCATCTGTAAGTGGACGATGTTTGGACCCACCAGGTCTCTTCTTAGAGCTGGCCGGCCATCCAAGCTGAGTGATCGGGGAAGAAGGGCCTTAGTCCGGGAGGTGATCAATAACTCGATGGTCACTCTGTCTGAGCTCCAGCATTTCTCTGTGGAGAGAGGAGAACCTTACAGAAGGACAACCATCTGCAGCAATCCAACAATCAGGCCTGTATGGTAGAGTGGCCAGAAGGCACATATCAGCCCGCCTGGAATTTGCCAAAAGGCATCTGAAGGAGTCTCAATCCATAAGAAACAAAATTCTCTGGTCTGATGAGACTAAAATTGAACTCTATGGAGTGAATGCCAGGCATCACATTAGGAGAAAACCAGGCACCGCTCATCACCAGGCTAATACCATCCCTACAGTGAAGCATGGTGGTGGCAGCATCATGCTGTGGGGATGTTTTTCAGCAGCAGGAACTGGAAGACAGGTCAGGATAGAGGGAAAGATGAATGCAGCAATGTACAGGAGAGGGTGCTCGCTGCAGAGTCATTTGAGGAGAGCTGAGCTCCAGCGAGGGGGAGCATGAGCTGTCGCTCCTCCTGTAAGCTGTTTTAATGCGTACACCAACCCCACCCCTAACCCTACCCCCAGTGACATCACTCGTAGAAGAAGTGCAAAAAAGGTGGAGCTCAAGCTTAAGCTCCCCCTCGCTGGAGCTCAGCTCTCCTCAAATGGCTCTGCAGCGAGCACCACTTGATGTACAGAGACATCCTGAATGGAAACCTGCTTCAGACTGCTCTTGACCAGATCCAGACTGGGGCGACGGTTCATCTTCCAGCAGGACAATGACTCAAAGCACACCGCCAAAGCATCAAGGGAGTGGCTTCACAACAACTCTGTGAATGTCCTTGAGTGGCCCAGCCAGCGCCCAGAGCTAAATTCTATTGAACATCTCTGGAGAAATCTGAATAGATCAATACATCGTCGCTTCCCATCCAACCTGATTGAGCTTGAGAGGTACTGCAAAGAGGAATGAGCAAAAATCCCAAAGACAGGTGTGCCAAGCTTGCGGCATCATATTCCAAAAGACTTGTGGCTGTAATTGCTGCGAAAGGTGCATCAACATAGTATTGAGCAAAGGCTGTGAATACTTACTGTATGTACATGATATTTTTAAGGTTTTTTATTATTAATAAATTTGCAACAATTGCAAATAATCTTTTGTCACATTGTCATTATGGGGTATTGTGTGTAGAATTGTGAGGAAATAAATTAATTTATTCCATTTTGGAATAAGGCTGTAACATAAAAAATGTGGAAAAAGTGAAGCGCCATGAATACTTTCCGGATGATCTGTAGATAAGATGGATGGATGGATAGATAGACAGAAGGATGGATATATCTATCTATCTGTCTATAGAGACAGATGGATGGACAAACAGGTAGATGTATAGATAAACGGATAATTGGAATATTCAGAAGAGCTTTATTGATTTTTCCAAACATATATACATACAAGCAAAACTCTCTGCCACAAACCTACAGTGCAGACATAGTATATGAACCACATTTATCCATAAATGGACATTCATAGCAATGTATTATTTGGTCACATCCAGAGTTCAATAACATCCTCAGTTCTTAATTTGGACGAAAATGTGGGAAGAAAATAAACACATTACACATAGCTAGGTGCTGGGTTCAAGTTTTGTTCGAGAATGAAAATTTCGAAACAGTCATGTAGTGTTAGTTCCTAAAGAGGAACAGAAGAAACCCTTATTTTTGTCTTTTTTTATTTTCTTGGTGAGGCACGATATCGATACAGGTTTTACAAAGTTTTGACATAAAGAAGCTACGATATTTAGGCAGAGTTAAGGCAGAAAACACCATAATAATTTAATCTTGACAACAGTAATATATTTTGAAAAATGAGTGAGAAATGTGTATAAAGTTCTCGCTTCTCATTTTCTCATTGGCTGAATTTCTCACAATGAGGTATTCTCACTTGCATGTATTTTAAAAAATGTGACCTGGAGGGTATATTTGACTAACAATGCAAAAAAAAAAAAAAAAAAAAAACACTTGCAACTTAAAGTAACAGTTCACCCACTCTTTTAAAGTCTGTCTTGCAATTGGAAAGCACATGCTCTCATGAATAATTAAGAAGCAGGGTCTTCTCATAGGATTAGAACACTCCGCTATAAATAATAAGGAGAAACTGACGCATCATCACTCCACTAGCAGATTTGCGCTACATCTATGATTTTGACCTCCAAGAAATATTTTGAACCTGGAAGATGAAATTAGCTAACAAAATCTCCAAATTATCCAGTTTTCCCCACAATTAAAGCTAACAGGTGCTAACGTTGTGTCAACTCAACACACATACGTGTTCAATTCTCATAAAAAGTAGATAAGGGTGTCTTAAACCTTTTAAGTCAACAGATACTGGCACTGTTAAAGTAAAAAAAAACATAAACAAGCTAAACTAAAATGAAAACTTGTGACTTCTGGTTATATAGGTTTTATGAAGCAAAACCATCGATCTGTGGGAGAAACAACATTTACAAATTTATTTTTTTTAATCCACAGCCTCGACAAATGAATTACTTTTGTTATGCCTCTATATGATTGTTTGGACTTTCAAAGCGTCAATAGCTATGTTACCATTCACCTATTTTTATGCGCATGTTGGATTTGTGCATAAAAAAAATCGGTTGATG